TAAACAAGTGTCGTAACTGGATATATCCTCCATGTGATTAGACCTTCAATAAAAAATGTGAATGCACACCTTGCAAGAGAGTTGAAAGCATAATTTCCTCTGAACATGATAATTAAACTTGCACAGCCAATATTGATTTACAGTTAGTATACGTGTCAGGAACGCCATCGGGAGAAACTGCAGCTGCTTGGAAGGTCTTCCTCCTCGGCCTCTGCTTGTTTCCTTTTCTGGCTCTCTCCTTTTCTCATTCCTCCACTCTCTCTCTCTTATTATCTCTCAATAAATCTCACTAACCACTTCTCTCTCTTGCTAACTATCCCCCCCCCTCTCTCATTATCTCTGCCTCTCTCACTCTCTCTCTTGCTAGTTGCCAGCTTCTTTCTCTTTCTCTCTCTCTCTCTCTCTCTCTCTCTCTCTCTCTCTCTCTCTCTCTCTCTCTCTCTCTCTCTCTCTCTCTCTCTCTCTCTTTCTCTCTCTCTTTCTCTCTCTCTCTCTCTCTCTCTCTCTCTCTTTCTCTCTCTCTCTCTCTCTTTCTCTCTCTCTCTCTCTCTCTCTTCTCTCTCTCTCTCTCTCTCTTTCTCTCTTTCTCTCTCTCTCTCTCTCTCTTTCTCTCTCTCTCTCTCTCTTTCTCTCTCTCTCTCTCTCTTTCTCTCTCTCTTGCTATCTCTCTCCTCCCTCTTTCTCATGATCTCTCCCCTCTCTCTTGCTATTCTTCCCCCCCCCCCCTCTCTGTTGCTATCTTTCCCCTACTCTCACTTGCTATTCCCCCTCTCTGTTGCTCTCTCTCCACCCCATCTCTTTGTCTTTCTCCTCCCTCTCTCTCCCTTCCTTCCTATCTCCCTCCCCCTCCTCTCTTTATGTTTCACTTGCAATCTCTTTTCCCTTTTTTTACTTGCTTTCTCTATCTTTTCTCTATCTTCTCTCTCTCTCTCTTTCTCTCTCTCTTTCTCTTTCACTCTCACTCTCACCCCCACTCTCACTCTCACCCCCACTCTCCCCCTCCCCCTCACTCTCACACTCACTTTCACTCTCACTCTCCCCCTCACTCTCACTCTCACCCTCTGAGTGATTCTCTCCCCTCTTTCTTGCTATCTCTCAATTAGAAAAGTACTAAATCTTTGTACTCTAAATGAAAGTAAGTAGCACTATGAGTACTGACCAAGTAAGGAGCAGGATGCAGTCATGTTACTAAACTGGATTGTGTGTTTTAATCTATTTCATAAGGGACAGAGAACAGAGAAGAGGAGAGAGAGAGGGAATATTGGAGAGAGAAAAGCAGAACTGAAAAAAAGACAAAGGAAAGAGAAGGGTGATGGACAAAAGAGAAGAGAGAAAAAAGAGAAAAGAAGGGAAGAAAAGAGGAGCGAGAGAAAGAAAAGAGAAGAGAGTGGAAGAAAAGAGAAAGAGGAAGAAAAATGAGAACAGAGGAAACGGGAAGAGAAGAGAAAGAAAGAAAAAGGCCAGAGAGAGGATAAAAAGCAAAAGAGGGAGAAAGAAATGAGAACAGAGGAGACAGGAAGAGAAGAGAAGAGAAGAGAGAAAAGGTGATAACAACAATGGTGATCTATACGAGGCTAAACAATGCTCCTGCTGGCCTTTGCTCTTGGTCATGTCTCTCTCTTTCAACACTAGATGCATACTGTAATACCAGCAGTGGTCTAGCATGAGGATACAGATGCTTTCACCGAGGAAACAAATGATACTAAAAAAAATCTAAATGCTCTTACCTAGGGAGAGTAGATTCTTCCTCTGTGCATTCCTAGCATCCCAAGCGCACAGGGACGTCGTGGCTTCGTCGGGAAACATTACGAAGTCCTCTGTGTGGTTGAACATGGCGTGGGCGCTGTGTTCCTGGCGGCCTGTAAAGAATGGGAGAGGCATCATATCAATCAATCAATCAATAAAAAAAAAAGAAAGAAAAAGAAAGAAAGAAAGAAAGAAAGAAAGAGAGAGAGAGAAAGAGAGAAAGAAAGAGAAAGAGAGAGAGAGAGAGAGAGAGAGAGAGAGAGAGAGAGAGAGAGAGAGAGAGAGAGAGAGAGAGAGAGAGAGAGAGAGAGAGAGAGAGAGAGAGAGAGAAAATCACACACTCAAATGTATGTACATATGTGTGTACACAAAAAAGAAACAAAGAATGATCACAATCTTACCGACAGAGCCAGCCCCAGTATAGGCAATGAGGCATCTCCCACTCGACAGTTCCCACAGTTTCACTACGCTGTCAAGTCCAGATGACAGGATGTACTAGAAGGGAAGAAAGATAAGCAAAATGTAATAACACAGTTAATAAAAAAACAAGTAAAGAATACTGTAAACAAAAAGGTCCTCTCTATTTTTGGTGATCTTGAAAAAGACTTAACGCTTAAAAATAAAAGCCACAATGTCCTGAGGCAGATCATCATGAAACTTAAAATGGATAATAACATTAAGTGAGCAGTTTTAGTAAAAGGATAATTATAATAACACTTCTTCAGCTTTGTTCATAAAAAATGTTAAAAGAATCATCCTATACAATTTCAATTTTGTTCATAAAAAATGTTAACAATGCCAAAATAGCTAAGAGATATTAACAGTGTTCACTATGACATTTGAAGAAAAAGTTATGAATGTATTGAATATCTTCATAGTGTGAGAGATATATTTAACCTCTTTCAAATATATCTTCATTAGGAATACATAGATTTCTTATAGAGGTTATTGGAACCGGTCAAATACATCTCTTGCACTGCGAGGATATTCAATACTCATTCACATCTTCATCAACAAGCTAGAGGTAATATACCCACCTTTCCATTACGGGAGAAGAGCACAGAGCAGACCTCCATCCCATCATGACACTTGGAGAACGTCTGTACGCAGCGGCCGGAGACACCATCCCAAACCTGTCAAGGGGTTGTTCGGGAGTTAGTATATTGTTTATATGGTTTCTGGTTCTGGTCAACTTCATTTCTTGAAGAGGATTTTTTGGTATTCTTTTCCTTTAGTCTTAATGTCTTTTTTCTCACTCAATCCACACATTAGTCACTAACTAAATAAAATGTCTGTATCTTTGTCTATCAGTATACCAATCTGTCTCTTTGTCTATTAGTATACCAATCTGTCTCTTTGTCTATTAGTATACTTATCTGTCTTTGTCTATCTGCTTACCTTGCTATCCATTCATATATCTAGTAATCATTAATAATCATTTGAACTTAACATAACTGTCCCAAGAACCATATCTACCTTAACATGACCGTCCTTTGAAGCAGAGACGCAGACTCTTGCATCAGCCGAGTAGCGCACACAAGTCAGGGGCCCCGTGTGATGCTCGCGGGGGTACGGACACACGTAGCACTGGCAGGAGTTGATGTCGTAAAACCTCACCACAGGGCCTTCCGTCGCTACTGCCAGGAAGTCACCACTGGGATGGATTGACATACTGGTTACCTGCTCAGCATCCTATGTGTAAAGAATAAAAATGGAAAGGTTTAAAGAAAGAAAGAAAAATAAAAAGAGTTTTGTGGTTCACTGAAAGCAATATAAAGACTGACAAAGAGAGTGATCTAATTTAAAAGAAGAAGAAGAAGAACAGGCAGAAGAAGAAGAAGAAAGAAAGTAAGTAGGTTTAAGTTGTATTAATAGAAATATAAAACTGGATGTTTTACACACTTTCAGAATAATGAATATTTTCTACTGCAACCTTATCACCAAAACTGTCAGTTATTAACTCAATGGATGCAGATGGCATGATTATATGCTATGTCCACTATAATTTTGGTTTATTAATTGCATTTGCACAGAGACAGCCCAACAAGTGTCTAGTCACACAGAAGTCAATTGCTAATCCTACGGATCTCACTTGTATACACTTTTTCTTTATTTCCAGAAAGATCTATTTATATCATTTCAGTTTTTATTATTACTTGTATTCTAATAACATTACAATAATCATCATATCAATAACAATAATAACAGTATCAATATCAACAGCATTAGAAATAACAAACAAATTTTTTTCCCATAATTTCAAGGAATGAGGAAATCCAGCACAGTCACTAGGGCTTTTGTAGCTAAGGACATGTGGAGCCATCAGTGTTCAACAAAATTCACAATTTTTTCCAATATCTGATGCCAACTCCATGCAAGACAATATTGGTGACTTATATATAATTGAACTAGACATAAACATACACACTCACAAGAAAGAGAAAAAACACTTTCTTTCTCTTCCATACTTGGACTTAAACTTTATTTCTCTCCTCTCTCTCTCCCTTCCAATCACACTCTCACACTCACTCACTCTCTCTCACTAACTGACTGACTGACTCTTACTCATTCACTCATTCATTCACTCACTCACTCACTCACACACACACACACCTCTCTCCCCTTCTCTTCCTCTTGCCCTCACTCAATCTATTTACAGTTATATCGACCTCACACCTCCTTCCTCCCCCCCTCCCTTACTGTAAGTGTCTTAAAAGCCTTCTTGGCCGAGGTCTTGCTGAAGTCGAACATCTTGACATTGGTGTCTCTGCTGCCCGAGATGAGGATCTGCTCGCGCGGGTGGAACTCCAGGCAGGTGATCTCATCCAGATGATCGTAGAGCGTGCGGATGACTGGATGACCCACCACAGCGTCTGGGTGAAGCTCCACGGCATCTGGGTCGCTTTTAGCCAACATTCGGTCCACGTCTAGAATCTATAGGAGGAGAAAGGGATGCTTTTAAAGTGTTTTGGCTACTTTTTGTTTTGTAGTTGGCCGTACATTTTTCTCTAATGTAATGCTGTAGTTCGACTAAGACAGCGAAGAAGCAGCTAAAATGCTATGTGCTAAATCTATTATCTAATCTTACTTTTCATTTTAGTTGTTCATATCGAGAATGGCTTTATGAGATTTTATAAATTCATACTCTTTCTTCACACAACCACCCCCCTTACCTACCTTAATAGAAGCATCAACACTCCCCGTAGCCACAAGGTTCCCATCCAGCGAAAATGCGGCAGCTCGGCACTTATCCTTGTGCGAGGTTACATAGGCTGTCTCGTACATGGCAGGCTCTGGGGCTGACGTCTGCGGCTCTGTCTCATATTCGAGGTCCAAGCCTGGGCCTAACGTGTACTCCAGTCTGTTCAGCGGTCGCTCCATTTCTGTAAGTAATCTTTTTTGTAATGTAACAGCTATTAACCAGTTACCTTTACAATGGACTTTAAAGAATTTTATTATACGTTTTTTTTTTTTTATTTGGCACCAATTAATTTAACATATTATTTACTTTTTCTTTTACTGCTATGCAAATTAGAGAACATATCTGTTTTGCAAAACAAGTACTAGAAATGAGAGGGATTCTGTCTGTGCTTCACACATGACAATCATGAAAGGCATACTAAAAACTCAAATACCATGACAAAAACTTTGGTAATTAAGAAGTAGAAAAAATAAAGACAATACATTCACTAAAATAGGAATTAACATTTACAGTTTGCTTATATCATCAAAACCTTTTCATAATGTACATCTAGTCTGTACGACATTTTGAAAAATTAAATAATATGCAATACTGCATGGCAAATTTAGAATACACTCATAACTCACTCATTATTGCATTGTGTTATACAATTTGTAACTTTTTTTTACAAAACAAATATAGTGAAGAAAACAGTCAACTAAAAAAAATTGATAAAAGATTGTAACATACCTCAATAACACATTGTTTTACTCTGTACTCTGATTAAAAAAGGAAGAGATGAAAAAAAAGAAAAAGGGAAATGATAAAAAGAAAGCAAAAAGAGACTAGAATAAGAAACAGCCAAGCACAAAAGAAAAACAGAAAGACTTTAATAAACGAAAAAGAAGATTCTCACCGTGTTCATGCTGTAGTCCAAGATTGAGCACATTCATGAGCCTGTCTGAGGGAGCCACAGCGCTGGCCTCTTGGTCGACCAGCGTTGCCAAGTCCTGTGCAAAGGTCTGGTGTCCATCATAATACAGCTGACTGAGGAGTAGCAAAAAAGGAGAAAGAAGGTTATATCATTTCTGCATTTTAAGTACTTACTGATTTATCTATCTATTGGTTTAACTATTTATTTTTATTGATTTAATGATTTATCGACTTAATCTTTTCTATTCATTTATTCCTGTGTGTTGATTCCAAATACTGGGTAGGCCTGAGGAATAATGTGGTATGGGGTGTGATCTCAATAAAAGGAAAGCAATATCACTGTAGGTATTAAGGTTAGTTTCATCACTGTTACTATACAAGAAGTATCCTTGGAGAAAAAAGAAAATTATGACAATGTGATCAGAAAATTCCATGAAAATGATTTGCTTATCAAAAACCCTGTGCATTTTTCTAAAATACAAATTGCGGGCAGACAACAGAATCCTCTTTGGGCAGAAAAGAATCCAGATTATTCTTGATCTTAAATATGCTAAGGATTGAAGTACATCCACTGCAGTTAATATTTACTAAACGGTTTAATGAACCCCAGTTGATCGTTTCTTGGAAGAACAATAAAAAATGTTCTGAAAATATTTTCCTGATACTCAAAATCTGAAGTCTGTATTACATGAAAGATACATTTCCTCTCAAGTAAAAACCTACAATAACAATATTATTTCTTAAAAGGACTAACTATAGCCCCATGTCTTATGAGGTTTATTACAACATTCTCTACAATAAAATCTAATTACAACCTGCTTTTCATAAGAAAAAAGAAAAAAAAAAAGCGCCCAGGCTTACTAATACACATCCCACCCCTGGCTTATGCATAGCTTCGTGCCTGTCGACATTCCGGCAAACGCCACCGAACTCTACCACGCACCATCTTCTGGACAGCTTAGCTTTTTGACAATAAGTCGCAAGGGAGATCTACAAGCTCATTCTTTCAAAATATATACATTAATTGAGGTGAAGGTTCATTTTGAGGTTCTGATTGAGGTTCTTTCAAAATATATACATGATGGTTGGTTGAGGTGAAGATCCATTTATTGTAACAAGTATCTGTAGGCTTACTATTATAATACATAACATGTTTTTCTTTATAATAATGCAGCTAATTAATAAATGCCTTCAAATGGGTCTTGTTTCCCGATACTATCAATAAAATGAAAACATATCGTTTACATGAGATATTTGGTAAATTTGAGATATTTACCATTAATTTACCATTAACTATTTATTATTATAATTTCCTTAACGACGAACAAACATAACGTCACAGTAATCTACAACACAGGAGTAGTTCCATAATATTAACAAAGAAAAGCGAGAAAAAATAAAATCCGAAATAACAGTACCGGCAAAAGATAAAAAATTTCCTTTTAAAAAAGCACCATATTCTCTCGTTCTCACCTTATAATCAACTTATACATAAGATCCCTGTTTTTACACTTATTCTTCTCTTCCTTCTTCTCCTCTTCCTTCATTTTGCAAGAAGTAGGATGCGAATTAATGCCAAAATTCCTTCGAAAGGTGAGAAAAGCGAGGGTTTCGTGTTGCCGCTCGCTGGTTTGTTTACG